AAGCACAGCAACGCAGATGCTTTGTTACAAAAGCCGACGGGGGCGCTCAAGGTCAAAACGCACGCGCCTCAGCAATAAAACGCAAAGAAAAGCACAGCAACGCAGATGCTTTGTTACAAAAGCCGACGGGGGCGCTCAAGGTCAAAACGCACGCGCCTCAGCAATAAAACGCAAAGAAAAGCACAGCAACGCAGATGCTTTGTTACAAAAGCCGACGGGGCGCTCAAGGTCAAAACTCACGCGCCTCAGCAATAAAACGCAAAGAAAAGCACAGCAACGCAGATGCTTTGTTACAAAAGCCGACGGGGGCGCTCAAGGTCAAAACGCACGCGCCTCAGCAATAAAACGCAAAGAAAAGCACAGCAACGCAGATGCTTTGTTACAAAAGCCGACGGGGCGCTCAAGGTCAAAACGCACGCGCCTCAGCAATAAAACGCAAAGAAAAGCACAGTAACGCAGATGCTTTGTTACAAAAGCCGACGGGGGCGCTCAAGGTCAAAACGCACGCGCCTCAGCAATAAAACGCAAAGAAAAGCACAGCAACGCAGATGCTTTGTTACAAAAGCCGACGGGGGCGCTCAAGGTCAAAACGCACGCGCCTCAGCAATAAAACGCAAAGAAAAGCACAGCAACGCAGATGCTTTGTTACAAAAGCCGACGGGGCGCTCAAGGTCAAAACGCACGCGCCTCAGCAATAAAACGCAAAGAAAAGCACAGCAACGCAGATGCTTTGTTACAAAAGCCGACGGGGGCGCTCAAGGTCAAAACGCACGCGCCTCAGCAATAAAACGCAAAGAAAAGCACAGCAACGCAGATGCTTTGTTACAAAAGCCGACGGGGCGCTCAAGGTCAAAACGCACGCGCCTCAGCAATAAAACGCAAAGAAAAGCACAGCAACGCAGATGCTTTGTTACAAAAGCCGACGGGGGCGCTCAAGGTCAAAACGCACGCGCCTCAGCAATAAAACGCAAAGAAAAGCACAGCAACGCAGATGCTTTGTTACAAAAGCCGACGGGGGCGCTCAAGGTCAAAACGCACGCGCCTCAGCAATAAAACGCAAAGAAAAGCACAGCAACGCAGATGCTTTGTTACAAAAGCCGACGGGGGCGCTCAAGGTCAAAACGCACGCGCCTCAGCAATAAAACGCAAAGAAAAGCACAGCAACGCAGATGCTTTGTTACAAAAGCCGACGGGGGCGCTCAAGGTCAAAACGCACGCGCCTCAGCAATAAAACGCAAAGAAAAGCACAGCAACGCAGATGCTTTGTTACAAAAGCCGACCCCTATTGAAAATGTTTCTAAAGGGCCCGTCAGCCTTGAAGGATTATGGGACCTCACAGGCCTTCAAAACCCTTCAAAAATACCCTACAGAAAAACCCTTCAGGGATGCCCCATAGAAAAACCCTTTAGCCCCACAGCCCTTCAACCCGTCAGACCCTTTAGCCCATCACCCCTTTAGACGCGCAAATGACTGTGAACCATAGACAAAATGCAGTTCAAAACATTATTCAAAATTTATTGCAGACATTTAGTTTTACATGCATATTATAACTCAAAAAGGTGATAAAAAGCAACGTGTGTTGAAACCCGGCGCAAGGAGCGGTAGACGAAAGAGATCACATCAAACAGGGACAACTGACTTCTTTATCACAAAGAAAAATATATTTCGAAGTACTCACAATGCCGCTGGGTATATTCCTGACGTGCGGTAGTTCAGCTAATAAAACCGAGCAGGTGTACCTCACGTACACATACACAGTCTTAGTAGGCGCGTTTAGCGAAAACCACGAAGTCGCAAGCGCTAGCACCCGCCGCCGTTGAGAAATCCCGAGCACAGTCACGGTTTCGTCCATGATGACAATACGCCGGCGTCTTCGGCGTATTTTTCGCTCGCTGGATGCTTCTGAAGTCGGACGGACGAAGAGGCGCAAAAACCAAGTCCGGAGAGCGACCGTCATCCACCGTCTCAGGGCCCACAGCGCCATAATCCCGGTGTGCAGGCACAACATGCGGTGGGACGCTGACCCCGACTGCCAGGCTTTGCAGCGAGTAAGCCGACACCGGCCACCATCTCCTTGAATGCGCTGAACACGACGGCGCTCGAACGGTGCTGAAGGCGGCCAGCGCCGAACTATGGTGCACCTGCGGAACCAAGGAAGAATCAAAAGAGACCAAGGGGCGAGCCCTGAAAGGCATGCATGCTCACCTTGCTGGAGGAAATCGGTCCGCTCCAAAAATCCGCTGTGTGGGCTAACCGGAACTGTCCACGAGCAGAGAGAAAATGGCTATACTGGCGGCTGGCCTCCCCCGCTTGCACACACCACCCTCTCCCGCCGACCGCTGGGCTGGCAGCCCTGCACCCTCTCCCCATCGCCGGGCTGAGAGAGGGGCAGTGTGACTTGCTTTTGGGGACCGTCTCCCGTGGAAGAACCGGTTCCCGGAACGAGTCGCTCCCGCGTGGGTCCCTCTTTCTGGAAAGCGCGCAGTGGTGTCAGCTTGTTTATTTTATTTTTTTTTTTATTTATGGTTCCACGGATTTCGCCTCCAGCGGACAGGATTGCGTTCGCCTCAAAACGCCGCTCGGTCAACACCACTCGGCCAGCGGCTCGTTGATTCTCTACGTGGGGCGGTCGCCCTCAGTGGCCTCCTTGGCGACCGAACCCCCGGGCAGTGACAGACGACCCACTCGTAATTGATAGAAGAGCAGTACTACAAATCTGACCGTACATACATACGATCGGTATTCTCCAAATACTTTTTTCCCCGTAGCGTACAATAAGGCTATATTCTAATTCTGCGAAATGTGTTTTCTCGACCTAAGCTGTGGCCCGCCGACATCTTAAGAAGCCTGAAGGTTTTCCCGACCCCATTAGAAAAGTTCTTGACAGGCTTCCAGACATGTCAAGGCATTGTAAAGGGGACTTCAGACATTTCAGGAAAGCCTCTGACGGGGCCAACGAACCCACCAGGGAATATCGGTGCACCTTTCAAACATCACAAGAATTCCTGAAGTCCCTTTCACACCCTTTAAAAAAATCCTGAAGTCCCATCAGAGCGATTTTCAATAGGGACGGGGGCGCTCAAGGTCAAAACGCACGCGCCTCAGCAATAAAACGCAAAGAAAAGCACAGCAACGCAGATGCTTTGTTACAAAAGCCGACGGGGCGCTCAAGGTCAAAACGCACGCGCCTCAGCAATAAAACGCAAAGAAAAGCACAGCAACGCAGATGCTTTGTTACAAAAGCCGACGGGGGCGCTCAAGGTCAAAACGCACGCGCCTCAGCAATAAAACGCAAAGAAAAGCACAGCAACGCAGATGCTTTGTTACAAAAGCCGACGGGGGCGCTCAAGGTCAAAACGCACGCGCCTCAGCAATAAAACGCAAAGAAAAGCACAGCAACGCGGATGCATCGTCACGGAAGGCGTGGAGCAAGCGAGGCTCGCCGCGCCTGCGCAGAGGGAAAGCGTGATGTCACCGCCGGAGCGCCGTGTGCGAAAGGAAGACGGGGCGCGCTGCTTGTTGGAATGCGCTGCATGTAGGAATGCGTTTGCATTCCTACATTTTGTACACTGTATTTGATGAATCAGTAACCAACGAACCCAGTTTTCAACTCTTGCTATTTCTTTTTTTTTTTTGCTGAGGGACAAAGAGGCGCGTTGCCATCAATATTAAGTTAAAAAAGAAACAAAAACGTGGTACTATTTTAAATTTTGGTAATACATTTGTTTCGGAGATCCATCTGCCCAAAAATTTGTTTTCGTTAAAAAGATATGCTTGCGTCCGGCACCAAACTCATCTTCGTTGAAGTTTCTTTTCTTCTTCCTTTTTTTCTATTGCGAACTAACGGTTGTTGTTTTCCCTTTCAAATTTCGACGAATTGTATTTAAAAAAAAAGAACAAGAGCGGTAAAAAATATGTTAATATAAACACAATGTAAATACATATTCAAGCCATTTCTCAACATAGTCACCGCACAAATTTAGGATGTTATTATGACGTTGCGAAAGCTTTTGGGTGCACTCCTGTAGCCGCCGAGGTTCTGAGAAATTCCCTCGCGAGTTCAACAAGATGAAGGGTTTCATCTCCCTCAAAACTCTGATTTTCGGGTATTGTTAGAATATGTATCACTTTTAAAACCCCAGTACGATTGAGGATTATTTTCTTACGAGCTTTTACCAATTAGCTAACTTTCCCCACGCATTTGTAAAACTAACCGTAAAAAAGTGAGAAAAAAAAATAAAATATTCAAAACGCTACGACAAATTTTCTTATGAATTCACTTTAAGGCCGCGTTCACACTTGCGAAAAACTCTTTCTTGTCGCCGACCGAATTTAGTGGGCGGAAAAAGACGGCGCCGTTCACATCTGCTGCCACCCGTCGCGTTCGCAAGGCTCCGGTCTCTTGCGGATATCAGAGCAGACTGCCCCTGGATCGAATGGTGATCGAAAAAATGCTCTCGCAGACTTCCCCTTGCAGTTAACGCTAACCCACAGTGCCGGGGAAATGCCTAACATTTCCTTCGCAATACGAGAAGGCAATAATAGCATAACGAGCAAACGGGGACAACCTGTGTACGTGCCACCCATGCCAATTTTATTCCACGGATCTTCGTTCACATTTGTTGCCGTCTGCGGAGTGCGCGGCGCCAGCGTCTCTCAGTTTCCCGAACAGACAAGGGAGTTGACGAGAGCTCCCAAACCTCCTCCTCGCCCGCGCGCGTCTCGTCGCCATCGTCGCCAGCTGGCGGCGGGGATCTGACGACAGCAAGCGCCACTTCTCCCGGGTGTTATGATTGGCTTGCGGCGAGAGAAAACCTGTTTCCGGCGTTCGAAATTGGTCCCAGAGCGATCTTGCTCTCGGCCGGAAATTTTGCCTGCCTTCGTCGCCGGGTGTCAGAATTCTCGCGGATCTGGCCGCCGGTTCCCAAGTGTGAACGAGGCATAACATTAGGTTATTTTTCCGCCGAATTTAGAGGCAGTAAACGACTTGTCGCGCTCACCTTGAGGGATTGCACGATAAACTTGATACCGACGATGCCTCCGAAATCAGTGGAGGAGTAGATTGTGGTGGCGGTGTTCACGTGAGACGCCACAATGTTCGTCAGGTAAGCTTTGGCGGAAGCGTCGTCAGAATTTCGGCGATAGTAGTTGTACAGCACGTGGTCTACGATTACCTGCGGGTGCGGCAACCGGAGTATTAGGACGCTATACTTTCGTTTTAGCTTTGCTACAAGAAATGTTTGAAATTATGTTTGTTTGTTTCATTGATGTCCAACTTGAACACCATTGATGTCGAAGTTGAGGAGAGGTTTCAGCATATATTTTTTCAAATAAAGAAACTTACCATTTAATAGCCTTTCTTTTTTTTTCTTTTTTACATTGTTAGGGTAGTACAAAAGAACTATGGCGTCCAGGACGGACTCTTAAATTATATTTACACTTTGCAGTCTGTTCTTATAAAACAAATATCTCTTGATATTTAGTGGCTAATTTGGCTCTCAAGAGCTCTGAACGAAAATCAAAAAGGAGTAAAGTGCCAAAAGCCTCGCGTTTAAAGAAACGGAAGTGTGTGTGAGGGCGTTTCTTTCAGCTTGTAATAGATCGGCTTGCGATTATACTTGCCACATTACCTCCAAACGGATATTGAAGTCTCTTGGATGCGGGACGCCTTCGATCTCGCATGTACACCCGCCGGCAATATGAAGGTGAACACCTTACCTGGTTTCCTGCCTGTTTTACGGCTCCCTAAAGCTATGTTAACTCAACGACTCAAATGGTACGTGGCTTGTAGGTCTAATTTGCGTTCTAGCCCTCTTCTGGAACAGAGCATGTTCCAAAACTCGCAGGAGCGTCAAAAACCAGAAGAGGGCTGTCCACCTTCGTATCGCTCACGGGTGTACGTAAAACATCTCAAAGCTGCTGAATATTTTTGTCTATGTTCAAAATTTGCGTTCATGGCGTTTTGTAAAGACGGATTTGTTATTAGAAATCTTGTCGTGCATACTTATGTGGTAAGACTGTTCTATGAATTTGGCGTAATTTCTACAGCAGAAGCATGACTCTTTAAATATTTTCAATGTAGGTTAGAACACCCTGTAGACTTACCTAAACATTTCTAAAACCCAAGACGGAGGCTACGAGGAGGGGACAGACACAATGCGCCTCTAACACAGCTACCAAATTTTACTTTTTTATACCTGTGATCTCCACACCGCCAAGGTCACTCCCATCCACCCACGGTGGATAGGAGTGACCTTGGCCATTGTGTAGAGGGCGTGGTTCTTTGTATCCTTCAACCCTTGGACCATTTTTCGTAGTTGTTTGTAAACTGTAGGCGAACTATTGGGCCGTGTGCAAGTGGAGGGCGGTGTGGAGGACAGGTATAAAAGAAGTGGCCTGAATAAAAATTCAGAAGCTGTTTTTAGAGGTCTTGTATTTGTCCCCTCCTTGTTGCCTCCGTCTCGGGTTTTAGAAATGTTTAACTTAAACCAGCTCGTCTGGCTTAGTAAGTTATCTCCACACTTACCTATGCTATCAAATAGGCATAAAACACTTCCTGGCCAAATAAATGAGTCCTAACTCAACCTAAAATAAATTATATGCCTAGTATTTCTGCGAAAGTCTTAAAAAAATCTACCAATAGGGTGGATTAGGAAAAAAAACTATTTTCGGGAACAAACTGCCAGCCACGGCGCACATCAGGAATGGCAAAAATTAAACACACTAATAAGCTAAATAATTATCTAAGATTTACTCAATAACTTCTTTAAATTGTAAAAAAAGATATATGGTTCCAATTAAATACACGCTGAGCGCCATCAAAAACGCCAAATTAGAGGCGTCTCTGCGTCTTTTGCACTCGGCATGCCGCCAGCGTTGTTAGATCGATTTTTGAAACGACAATACCCGAGTAAAATCACCTGGAGGTGACAAAGTAGCCGCTTTTGCGTGCCAAGCTGAGCCCGCATCTTGGGTTTTAAGCTCCGTACCCTCGGTGCAGCCCCTTCGAGGACCGGGGAGGCGGCAATATTTGGTGACCGCCGAGGCCGCAGGTGCTCCTTGGAAACCCTGTCACGAGTGGACTGCACATAATACATACCAAAAGAAATTTCCAAATGCACTGCAAACTAAAAAAAAAAAGGTTTTTTTTTTTGTAGGTTTTAACGAACCGAACACTTCAACCGAAATGTATCATTTTTTTTTAGTTCGAGAACAGCTGTATTTCAAGGGACATGATTTTACTTTTTTTTTCAGACTCTCTTTGAACTAATTTGTTTATATCCTAAGCTAAAAGGTAGACGACTGCGAATAAAGAAAAAAAAAACTCTTCCAGTTTTTTTGTTTTTTTTTACCTAACTGTTATAGTAGAGCTTTGGCTTCGTACACTCTACGTTCTGACCCCTTCACCTGCATTTTTTGTACAGAAAGATGTCTACACTGAACTGCAATTTCCACGGCCTTTAACAATTTCCCACAATCACAGCTGAAACATTTACTCCTACAAGCTAGTTAACTCCAATCAGGGATGGGCAAAATCCATGCAAATATGTATCGAAATACAAATACAAAATACTTCATCCAAAAATGGATTTAATTCCAAATCTAATTACATTTCCAAAAAGCATTTAAGTACAAGATACAAATACAACCAAATGTATTTGGTCTCCTCCAAATACGTTTCCGAATACATTCCTCAAAATTTGCGTTAGCGACTTCAGGGCACCTGCAACGGGTTTTTGGGTATCTCATTTTAATTTTGCATCGAACACTCGGGAGTTAGTGTGCGAGGCTCTAGTAACGTAATAGAAATATAATCACAAAAAAAATTTAATCAGCTTGGACGTAATAGGTGAAAAAAGTACAGAGCTTCAAGCAGCTTTTTTTGTCGATTACATTTTGGTATAGACCAACAAACAACCGACACGACTAAGATGCGCAGCACTAGCTAGAGAATTTTTTATTGTCGCAACTCGCACCAGTTACGAAAATCTGGACGACCCGCGCATTTAGAATGTTCCAGGCAAAAGTATGGATGGAAATCAGGCTGGAAAGCATCACAAGTTGTCACAGGCACTTATTTAGCCAGTCTGCCTGTGAACGTCGATTTCGTCACTATTCTTGCCCTGGACTAGCTCCGTAATGACAAAGTCACTAAACGCTTGTGCTTGATTGAGAGACACTGCATTCAGTGCAGAACGTAGTTTTCTTCCTGCTCTGGACACGTCTTAGGATGAGCAAATTGAGTCGTGACAATAAATTTGACGGATGTATTTTCGCCCACAAAATTGTATTTAATTAAAATTGTATTTAAAATACCCACGTTTTAGTATTTAAATAACACGTCAAATACATTACCCAATTTGTAATTAAATACAAATGCAAAATACACAAAGTATTTGAAATACGTATTTCATATACTTGTATTTGAAATACTGCCCATCCCTGACTCCAATTAAGGTGCAAGTTAAGTTACAATCTAATCAGCAGTGTTATGGAGTATGCCACCACGTGGAACGCGGCAAGCCATTTTGAAAGATATGTTCGTCGTCCATTGCCTCGAGTTCGTTATATCTTTTTGTGGCAAGACATTTTATGACACGTGGCATCTTCGAAATATAAGGCACATGTTGTTCAAAGGAGCGTTCTTGTCGATTAAGGGAGCGCATGCTGAGTATTTTACCGCAATATTTTGCATCGTTCGCTACTTTCATATCTGTCATTTAACTGGGTATATAATAGGGCTGAAAACTTAATCGATTGCCCTAGCGAATAATCTATTATTGCTTTAATCACTATTTTTTAACCGGTTAAAGTTTGACTAAAAAAAAGGGAGCAAAAATTCAACGATTTTATTACGCAAGCCTACAACCGCGTGAAGGTAAACTTCAGGTGAAGTTTTCACTTAAAGTGAACTGTGGTGGTAAAATTCGTAACTCCAAACAAGTGGAAAAGGTTCTGTGTGCCCCAGCCACTTCAACGCCGTGCGAGTGTCCGTTTAGCGCAGGAGAGAGTGTTGTGAACATTCAAGGGAATTCGCTATTGCCGAAGAATATCTTTGGAGTGTGGGTGTCATCTTACCGTTTTCAGCTATACTTCAAGAATGATTCAAAATTTCAAATAAGACACTGCGCCGTTAATCACATTTTCAAAAAAGACAACAAAAAATATTTTTTTAAAGTCATTATGCAGGGGAATGAACTAAACAGATGAATCGATTAATTAATCAAATAAAGGTTGTCAATTAATTGGGCTATAATTTTTAATCGATGCCAAGCCTCAGTGTATGAACATCTTTATTTCATGTTTGCGTAATTCTTTGTCTTAATGGACACTTTAATTATTAAAAGCGACCTTTGTGTGCTTTAATTCAATATGAACTCACGTTATGTTGTCGCACAGTCGGCCAATCACGAGTCTCGGGTATCTGCAACAGGTCCAGGTCACAGCCCCTATGAGCTTCAAGGTGTGCCGGCAGATGAACGTCTTTTCCAGAGTAGATGACGGAATGGCCGACACGTTGCGACTGGGTTTTGTTGAAGTACTTCCACGATGGCTCTACGAAGAACTCTTGGCTGTCGCCCGTGCTGATTCGGCCGTTGAATACTCCGTTTATCAGAGAGCCGAATACCCGACTTCCAGGATCACCTGGAAAACAAATAGTGTATGAGTGTGTGCTGCTTGGCAAAAACAAAAAAGTGAATATTCCGAATAAAATTTTTTTATCGAACATCAGTTTTATTTTGTGGCGTTTCTGAATTTAATTCCGTGGTTATTATAGTGCCCTAAACGTTCTCGTTTCTATATGAAATCAGCGGTGTCAGTCATAACTGCCGTTAGTAGTACTTTACTCGAGCACTATCCTCAATTAAATTCACTCAAAATATCCTGTACGAGACTCAAAAAAACGTTAAAATTGGAATTTATTTAGGTTTTATCCCGCAGTAAATTCGGCATTCCTGAACATTGTGTCGCTAACCCCTCTGTAAAAATGTTGTGTGAGGAGGAACAGGGCTATTCATTAAAGATAATACACATACAATACGCGAGTAGTGTGGAAACCAACACTCATTTGAGAAGATGTCAGGCGAGAATACCTTCGAGGGTACCAGAATAGATGTGAGAGAGGTCCAGGTTGATAAATCCCTTCGAGTCCGTGGCGACAAAATTATTCGAGAACGCTGAGCCATCTCGGCGAAGCACGAGACGTAAATCCCTGGAAGATAAAACGTAACGCACTTTAATACAGTTCGACATCAAGTCTACATCTTAAAGACAAATAGTGAACGGGATATTTAAGTTACATTCATATCCACGACATTGACAAGGACCTTGACCGCCCAGCGCGTATGGCAGTTGTATCGATATTTATTCTTACGACATCATTATCAGTTCGATGTTATGTAGCACTGTGACCAGCGTGTGTTCTTTCAGTCCAAAAGCTCCGAAGCATGCCCTGGGCGCTCGCGTTGGCCAGCGCGAGCACTTCTTCGCTTCACCGCGTGGTCATCTTGTAGAGCTCCATATGATACACCCCCCCCCCCTTTTTTTTTTCTTAAATTTTAGTTACATTGCAGTTACGTTAGTTATAAGAAAAACCAAAAATAAGGGGGGGATGTATCGTATTGCGCTATGCAAGATTCGATGTTATCTTAAGGGGCATGGTTCGGAGCTTTTGGACTGAAAGGACACTCGCTGGTCACAGTGCTAATAACATCGAAATGATAATGATGTCGCATGAATAAATATCGATACTTAAAGATGAGAGCAATGCTTCCTTGAGACCTTCGTTTCCAATACTCATTGTTCTAGCGAACGAAAGGCGCGTTGAGCGTGTTCTGGGAAGTACCCAGCTTCTAGGCCTTCCCGTAGTAAGAATACGTCTCTATATACTCAGATTGTTAGGTGGGCTCTTTGCGCCAACTTAGCACCATTCCTTTGCGTTTGCATGGAAACATTTTGATCTCAGCAAAACAAAACTGAAGTCGTAGTGTTACAGAAATTTGTATCATGAAGTATTAAAAGCAAACACCGATTTTATAATCTTTAAAGCGAGCTTTAAGGACATAAAGCAACCAGCAAACGATGTTATAAAATATTGTCAGTTCATACATTATTAAAAGTAACTTGTGGAGATTCGTTTGGTCTTTCTTCACAGGAAGGAATGTGTAGTCGCCTTGCTAGGTTTTCTGGCCCATTCACGCAGAGACGAACCTTCCGTAATTGTGGAACCCCACTCTGCAGCCTCCCATCCGAGAATCCATGCTTTCGGAAACGGTGCCGATCGCTGGGTGAGGAGGTTTCGCGCTTTCTGTCGTTTTGGGACAAAGCTCCACTATCATTCCCGGCTTCTGGCCAGCCAGAATCTCTGAATAATACCCTGGCGGGGGTCGCGAGAAACCAAACGATAAGTGCGTCGGAGTAGCTCTCGGTGACGGAAAATAAGGTGTACGTTATGTTTCGATCCCGGTCATGCAATATTATGGTGGAAGATATACAAGGGCATATAAGGTATAAAATGTGTGCTCAACTAGCAGAACGATCGACGTAATCTGCACGCCATGCGCTGAGGGCCAAAATCTGCCGTCCCAGCAAAACAGAAGTCGAGCGGCAGATTCGTTTCTTACACCTATTTGGATGATCTTAATCGAAACATCACGTGAGAATAATTTCAACCATGAAGAGTTGCTAGATTTACCTCTTACGCACTTATTAAAACTGTTTTTCGCGACCAACCCTAGGGATTCTTTTCGGCTTCTTGTTGACCCTGAGAGCATGTCAAGCCCACTTTCTGCGTCTGGTGCACGCCCTGGCTCCACTCGCTCCTCGTATTCACCAAACTCCCTCTATATGCGGCTCTGATGCTTCATTGACACACACACACACACACACACACACACACACATACACACACACACACACACGCACACGCACGCACGCACGCACGTACGCACATTTATTTATTCTTTTT